TTTCTGATGTAATTGGTGTGCCAGGAGCAGTTGTGTCTCACTGCCAAAAAAAAAACCCTAAACAATTTAAATGCCATATTTCTGTAGATCTTTGAAAGGTTCGAAGAATACCTATCTGTCTCAAATATATCTCTCTATATCTAGAAAACTAACCTGATTATAAGTTCTGACTATTGTAGGTAAAAGATCTGTATAAACACAATACCTAAACAAGATGAGACATATACATATCACAAATTTGACCTTAAAGTTGTATCAATAAATGAAAATCTATACCAATGCAAAGTATTCATTCCTATATCCTATTCCCCTTTTCTTTCTTTAAAAGGAGATTGACTCTGCTCATTATCATTTATAACTAACCCCATTTAAATGAAAACAAACATTCATAAATAATATTTGGGGATTTGGGTATCATTCTTTCTAAACTGCTTCCTGTTGATATGAGCCGATGTTCATTTACCATAGGGATCATGATAAAACATAGAAACCTGACCAAGTCCTTGTTTTTGTAGTCTGTAAGGCTGTATCATCTCAGCTTCAGGGGGTCTTGCTTGATCAAACCATGTTAGTCTGGAAGGAATCAACAGCTTTTGATTTTCTGTGGAAATATAAGTAAAACCTTTATTTCTAAGTAGCCTGTCCTTAGACTTAAATTTTGAAGTCAAAGCATTTTTAAAATGTTTAAGTTGGATTAATTTAGTAGCATTTATAATCAAATGTATTTTAGCAGCAGTAATTCTTTCCTTGGCAATCAAACAATTTAAAGACAACAATATGGCATAAAGTATCCAGATTCTCTGTGTATTTTCCATCTTTATGTGGTTTTTTTATTACTTTATTTTTACTTTCTTTTGTTTCTTCTCCCCCCCCCCAGACGGGGTTTCTCTGTGGAAATCAGCCTGCCTCTGCTTCCTTCTCTCACAAGCCTACATGTATTTTTAAATGCAGTGTAAACCTTTAGAGGTTTTTCCTTATCTGGATCTGTCTTTACTGTAAATCTTTACCTTTTTCTGGCCACCAGTCTTTTAACTGTTAAACAACACCACCAAAATTGAAGTAGTGGCTTTCTTAGCGCTGTCTTCGGTTTTTTCTGCTTTTGCTGAGTCAGGAAATCTCTCTTAAAGCAACCACTCAAGTCACTGCTTGACTGCTTGTCTCCAGCAAAACAGAGATCACCCAAGAAAATGCTGCTAACAAGAAGTCGGGCTTGTCTCTGATCTTTTGCTGCTAAAAATCCCTTTTTAAGCTTTTGTAAAGTTTACATGGAAGTTCCTAACAATACCTCCAGCTTCCTGGGTTCTGCTGTTGTTTGACTAGTCTCCTGGAGGCAGGAAGGCAGCTTGAGGCGGTGAGAGCTCAGAATCCTGACCCTAGAACTCTCAAGGGCTGCAGGCCATCTCAGGAGTGCTGGAGTCCAAACCCCAAGAGCGCTGGGACTGCGCGAGCATATGGAAGCTGCTCCATTGCCTCTCAGCGGCCCAACAGGACAGGCTGTGGCCGCAGGTTTCCCTCTTTCTCTAGGAACCTTGGGGCCTGGGGTCATCCTGCTCACTGACACCATTCTGTTATGATAAATCTTTCTGCCAAAAGCCGCCTGAGCCCCACCGCCACGTGTGAGCTTTACACAAGTTGCCTGCCTGAGTCAGGGCCCAAATGAATACACAGAAACTTGTATTAGGTTCAAAGCTGCTTGGCCAATGACTAGGATTCTCATCTGTTAGCTCAGTCTTAACTATCATACATCTATATATTTTATAAGACTTATCTTATTGGATACCTTATTGGCGTCCCTCCTTGTCAGTGGATCACATCGTGCCACTGGAGCAGGAGCAGAGGGGAAAAGAGAGGACCCGTCCTGTTTTTCCTTCACTTAAATATGAGTCTCCTTGCTATGTCACTTCTTGTCTGGATCAGCACTTCTCCACTACATTGCCCAGAATCCTCTTTGACTCCTAGTCGCGTCTACTTGCTGTCTCATTGGCCAAACAGTATTTTATTTAATAATCAGTAAGATAAACATACACAGTACATTCCCCATCAACAGGGCAAACCCTCCAAGCCTGGAGGCACACCAATCCTGAGCCTGTGCGTACCCCTAGACACTCCCCTTACGCTGCCCTATAAGATCTCTATGCAGACACTTCAAGCTGGCTTCCCTAGCCAGCCGCCATGGTGGGTGGATGAAAGACCCCAGCTAACATGGGGTTAGCTCATTAAACAACTATAATAAAGCCTTGTGCAGTTTGCATCAAGCTTTCGACTCCACCTGGTGATTGGGGTGACCGCGTTCCTGGACCGAGATCCTGGGGTCCTGAGCCTTCCGGGGTCTTTTATTAGGAGGGAAAGGAACATCTCTCTCTCTATCTCTCTCCCTGCCCCCCCCTCTCTCTCTCCTGCTTACTTGTCCATGCATCTATCTACAACCCTTCAAATGTGGCCCTAGGAGGAATGCTAGTTAAATTCCCTGGGTCGGAAAAAATTAAAATGACCTGAAGGTAGACTGGACACTAGTTGGGAAGAGGAAAGTGATGGGGGGGCAAGAGAGGGTAAGGTGGGTCAACATGATCAAAATACATTATAAACATGTATTAAAACATCACAGTAAAACCCATTCTTATCTATAATTAATATATACTAGAATTCACAGATAAGGAAAATGCATTTTTGCTATGGGAGCTAAGAGAATAGAAACATTGCTTTGCTGAATTAAAAGATAAATAGCAGCAAAATCTTCGTTTTAAAAAAAAAAAAATCAAAAGTTGTCCTTAAAGGCACAAGGTAGCTCACCTAAGTACTATGTGCTGAGCTTCTGATGTGGAAGTGACAGACAGGCTTAGGGTGTAGTAGGCAAAACTGACTTCAGGTAACACCTGGCACACAAACAGAAGCTAAATCTTCTATTATTTACAAACAGCTCAACTTTATTCTGTTAGTATGAAGCCCTGGTAGGACTTCAGATGAGGTAATAACATAGTGTTGGTTTAAGAAGTAGGGGGGTTTGGAAGGCCTCACCCTCCCTGGGGAGCAGAAAGGGGATAGTATGGGGGGGGGTGAGGGGAGGATGGGAGAAGGAGAGAACTGGGATTGACATGTAAAACAAGCTTGTTTCTAATTTAAATTTTAAAAAATCACCATAAAAAAAAAACGAAGTAGGGGAGGAAGTGGCAAAAAGGTAGGGGAAGGTTATAGGTGGAGACACAGGGAAAGGGGCTCTGCATGACGTTCTAGTGAGATGGAAAAGTTTGCCTTGAGTGAGTGATAAAAAAGGATGAAAATAAATATTTCATAATGTACAGAACTGGACATTGCTTGGACATAGAGAATTAGTAGAGAGGAAATAGGACTCAAGAATGGGTTGTACCAAGAAGAGTACCAGATTTTAAAAAATTAGGAGCTCAAGTTTAGATATTAATTATTAGGGGCATTTTATAAATAAATGTGTCCTGAAATATCTACAGAATCATGTAGTTAGATCATATGCTAAAGTATGGCCAAAGGAATAGTTTCTTAAGCTAAAATATACTTTGCCAATGCTCTTTTGTCAAATCTTTGAAGCTTTAGGTGTGAATTCATTATATTGTGTTCATATTTACAGTATGTGATTATATATACAAGCATATATTTAGTCATGAATTTATTGGGAGAGTTTCTCTAAGTTGTGCCTAAGTAGTTTTCAGTATAGCATATCTCATGTTTGTATCACTATACACTTTAATTACTGGATGGCATCATTTGCTGTTCATAATTGGAATTCATAACAAGGAAAGAACATTTCCTCCCAGGGAGCTCAGAATCATCTCATGTTAACTGTTCCTGTGTAAGACTGCTGTTTTATAAGCTTTGGGGGGAAAAGAAAGTAGTGCCTTTACTCTGAACAAGCTCTGAGTTGTTCTGCACTTACAATTTGATACTGTCCTGCAGACAAGATTGACAAAGCACAAGGACTAACATTAAGGTGGCATTTTTTCATTCTTTCTTAAAAACATTCCCAGTATGTAATTTAGCATATATAGATATAATGTCAGATATAGGAACTTTATTGTGATTTTATCTCAACATTACAAATATGGCTGATCAATTATCAATCAAGTAGATAAAGTTAAGTGAGTTTTTTTGCATAGTATTTATTTTAACTAAATCCCTAAAAAACCTCAGCTGCTAATTGGACTTAGCATTTCTGTTACTAAATGAGAAGTGTTTGGCTGCTGCAGAGGGGTAGTAAGATCTACCCAGTGGAATACACACTAACATCTGTTATCCTGTCCTGCTTTAGCTTGGCTCTTACCAAATTCAGCTGCCCCAAAGCCAGAGTTGTCAAGTGTGTGTGTGTGTGTGTGTGTGTGTGTGTGTGTGTGTGTGTGTGTGTCTGTCTGGCTTACCTGTGTGTGTGAGAGAGAGCAAAGCAATGGTTACCAGTACAATTTATACTGACAATTAGATAGCACTAATTGCTTTCATATCTTTCTCTTTTAAAGAAGCTAACTGTTGATTTGGCTGGACTTCGAAAAGAAAAAGAAGATTTGCTGAAGAAATTGGAGTCTTCATCTGACATCACCAGCTTGGTTGAGGAAGTTTCTAAAGTAATGGTGCCACAGATACAAGTTACCACACTGGATACTTCAAGGAGCATGGATTTGGAAATTAAGCAATTGCAGTGTAAACTAAAGGTGATTATATAGTACATTAGGTTCAATAACATCTCATGAATCACTGCATCCTTAGAGGTATATTTAATTGATTCTAATTTAGTTCAACAAAGGTCACCATGATAAAATATTTCAAAAACATGAATATTGCATCTGACTTAGTCATTCAAGTCTTGTGGGTCTATTTGTTCTGTTGTTATTAGCTTTTCTTCCTTTTATAGACTAGTAAGCTCCAAATTATCCTGCCTTAGGCGCTAATGGAAAGTAGCCACTATCTTTTACTCTAATATCCAAATCCTGGCTGCTCACTGCATCTTGGTCCAGATGAGCAGAACCCTTTCAAACATACGGTATAAACAAAATAAGAACTGTTTTCCTTTACACTCACTACTAATTTAATTATTTAGTTGTTGGTTGTTGGAGATCAGAATGCAAAAAAGAGAAGTGTGGAAGTGGGGAGAAAAAAAAACCAACAAAAAACAAAGATGGGTTGTTTTAATTGTCTGCAACAAGATAATCCTGGGGGTAGGAATCCTAGGTAGAGTTCTTCTTGTTTATAAAGAATTTATATCCAACTCCAGATAACTTGTCAGTGACTTAAATTGAGGCTCACTTAGTTTAGATAGAATTGTAAGAAACAAGATCCATGTATTTTAAACAGAAAGTTCATTTTTCTGCATCTTAAAAGAAACTAATTATTGTTCACAAATTTAATTATTTTCTCCAGTGAGAATTGCTGGCAGGAAGCTGACAGCAGTGGATATAGGATCATTGCTATGATAAGCATCATTAGAAGGGAACTCTAACTGTAAATGCATTGAGTTTTTTTATAATTAGGATAACTGTCTGCCAGGAAGACAGTAGGGCAAATAGCAAAGTATCAAGCAAATGCATAGCTAAGCTCAATCCAAAGTATGATGTTTTTATTTTTGTTTTTCAAGACATAGTATCTCTGTGTACCCAGGGCTATCCTGGAACTCACTCTGTAGACCAGGCTAACCTTGAGCTTGGATGTCTGCCTGCCTCTGCCTCCCAAATGCTGAGATTAAAAGTGTGTACCGCCACTGCCCAACTCAAAGTATGATGGTTTAAGCTGGGTTTTAAGTAGAATAAAATAGGGTAAAATGTAAGCCAATCATTACTTATACTATCCCTTTAGAAATAATCATAAAACTGGCATTAATTTAGTTGCTTCTTAGATAGCACCTTAAGACAATTTTTACCTGGAGAACATGAATACTAGAAATGTAAAAAAATAAAAATTGTGGCATGTGCATTCTCTTAAAATATGTTTTCTCCCAGGAATATAAATACGGTTTCTAAATTAAATGTTTCAGGTAGGGCCAATGCAATTATCTTTATTCATATACTATATAGATTTTGAGTTACAGTTCTTTTACATAGTTTAAGTACTCATGATCCTAATTTAAATATTCACCAAGATAAAATACAATGGTAGAATCAGTATCATCTGACTTCTAAATATTTTTACTTGCTACAGTTTTGAGTTATATTTATGTTTTGTTTTGGTTACTACAAATGTTCCAATATTTAAAATTTGAAATGTATTGTAACATTATTTGCCCATATAAGTATCTGATGAGGTATTTACATTATAATTTTTATCTGTGTATAAATAAATATCTGTCTAGTTTCAGACAGAAAGGTGAGGTCTGAGCAGGCATGGAGCATCTTGACAGTGTAGATGCCGGAGCCTTTGGATATTTTGGCTGGGTGTCCAGAGACAAAAAGGATAATGTTTGCTTTCATCCTGCTTATGTTTTAGTATAGATATTTTCCTGGAAGAAATTTAAGTATGTAATACTCCCTGCTACTCAAAATGTGTTTCAATATTCTTTCAAATTAGTTTGCTGAGACAGGTGTAAGAAAATACCACTGACTAACTGGCTTTTAAACATTTCAGTCAGACCTATGGCACACAGCTTTATCCCAGCCCTCTAGAGGCAGAGGCCTCTGTGAGTTTGAAGACAGCCTGGACTATAGAGTGAGTCTCAGGATACCCAGAGCTACATAGTAAGACCCTGTATCAAAACACAAACAAAACAAAAAACATTGTTTTTCTTAAAGGTCTGCAGACTGGAAGGGCAAGATGAAAGTGTTGACATTTTTCTTTCCTCTTCTGAGTCCTTGCTTCTTGCTGTGTAGAGAGAAGCCTTCTATCTTTATGTTCGGGTGATCTTCCTTCAAGAGCCCTGCATCTTACTTTACAAAAGACACCAGTCACATTATATTAGGGCCTCCTGGGAACCCCATTTTACCTGAGTTACCTCTCTAAAGACAGATCTGCCCGCCGCCGCCCCCCCCCCCCAGAAAACAACAACAACAACAACAAAAAACCCTGACACATTCAGAAGTACTATGTGAGGACTGAACCATATAATTTTAGGGGGACACAATTTAACTCCTAACAGATATCAGACTGCTAATGGTGATTAACTAGGAAGTTATTTTTAACTGATATTTAGGAACATCATTTAGATTTTCATCTATTAAAGGTGTTAGGTTTTTGTTTAAATTAGATATAAAGAAAAAGAGGAGGTCATACGATGAGACATGTTGACTAATTTATTATGGGCCCGGCAGAGTAGGGAGACTAAGAGAGAAGAGAAACAGTGGTAATGGCTGACCGCCATGGCCGGTCGCCATAAAGAGGCAGAGAGAGCATGTAGGTGAGAGACAGTGAAGAAGAAACAGAGAGATTAGAGAGTAAAGAGAGCGAACAGCAGGGAAGATGGAACTTTTAAAGGGAAGATTTCGCATGTGCACTGAGGTCCCACGCATGCCCAGAGTCCTCATGCATGCATGGTGGGTGATGTGGTGATGGCATGTCCTTGTGTGTTCCCTGACTGTTGTCAGGGGGCGGGGTCTGTCTCTTAAAGATATATTGCTGATCAGCATTAAAGCCTGAACCTTTCAAAAGTTATATGTAGATTATTTATCTAACACTGGTCTTTTGTGGGAATTTCTTATGTACTTTCCAGGAACTGGTTCATCCATTGTACTGCGGAGTTCATGAGTATTTTCTCTTGTCTTCTTTTGCCCCATTAAGCATGTTTCCTCAAGGTACTCCACAGAGGTGAATAATAATAGCCAAAATAATGGACGTTCTTTCTGGTAAATGATGGTGATATTGGCAGTTTCATTTTTGTTTGTTTGTTTGTTTGTCACTCCCTCCATTACCCAGAAGTCATGGATTGGACACTTTTTAGCTACATAAAATATAGCTTTAAGTCTCAAAACAGAAAGGAATCAAACACTATCTTAAAATATACTGAACATATTCCTGTGAAGACAGTATCAGACTTTGCATCCTGCCCTTTGCCTTTATTTTAAATAGAGTACTAAGTTCATTTGTATTCCCCCTCAACATAAAATGCTTCAGGGACAAGTTTGCCATGTGCATATTAAAGGGCAGGATGGATGTTTTCAGCAGAAATATTTAGAGCAAAAAAAAGAGAGAAATTCCAGCACTCAGGCAGAGGCAGGTGGATCTTTTAAGTTTGAGGCCAGCCTGATCTACAGAGCAAGTTCCAGGACAGCCAGGACTACACAGAGAAACCCTGTCTTGAAAAACAAAACAAAACAAAACAACAACAAAAAGTTTGAAATGTTAATATGAATATAAAATTGGAAAAACAAAGGTTTTGGGGGGATCATTGAGAATCAAAATAAATATATTGCAGTAGTCTCTAAAAGCACCATGACACTGTATAGTGATGGTTTATGAATAACATAGCATGTATGATTCATGTGGATATTACTAATTAAATGAAGGATCATTCCAGAAAGAATTTAACATTAATTATTAAGTGCAGTTTTAATTGTTGTATGATATTTTGATTTCATTTTGAAAATAAAGCTTGCTTTGAATCAGAGGGTAGATCTAGCCACTAGCTGACCAAAATTAATTATAGAGGTTTGGAGGATTGGGGACAGATAGGAGACAGGAAGTAGTAAGAGGGGGCACTGAGAGAGGATCCCAGACCTTTTAGAGGAGGAAATGGAAGAGGTAGGAAGTCACTTGGCTGCTCCCTGCTTCTCTGATCTTTCATGTTCTAACTCCGATATCTGACTCCCGATTTTTTTATTGGTAAAGAATAATTAGATAAACAGTTCCTGGGGTGCCATGTGCAGGCAAAGTTTTCCTGTCCTGGGAGCTACTTCCAAAAAACTGACACAGAGGCTTAATATTAATTATAAATGCTTAGCCAGTAGCTGGGCAGAAAGAGATTGGGTGAGACAACCTGACCCAGAGAGAATGTCCAAAGAAAGAAGGGTAGAGTCAGAGGAGTCACTGGCAGAAACGGGGAGAAGCAAGATGGGCATGCCATACGGAGAAAAGGTACCAAGCTGCGTGGCAAAGCCTAAGTAAGAAATATGGTTGACCTCCTGAAACTGAGAAGCTTCTGTAAGGCAAAGGACATAGTCAACAAGACAAAACGGCAGCCCACAGATTGGGAAAAGATATTCATCAACCCCACATCCGACAGAAGGCTGGTCTCCAAAATTTACAAAGAACTCAAGAAGGTAGTCTCCAAAACAGCAAATAATCCAATTAAAAAGTGGGGTACAGAACTAAGTAGACAATTCTCAATAGAGGAATCTAAAATGGCTGAAAGACACATAAGAAAGTGCTCAACATCCTTAGCCATCAGGGAAATGCAAATCAAAACAACTCTGAGATACCATCTTGCACCTGTTGTGGCGTTTTCTCAGGAAAATGGGAATCAGTATACCACAAGATCCAGCGATTCTACTCTTAGGCATATACCCAAAAGAAGGTCAGCTGTTCATACAACAAGGACATCTGTTCAACAATGTTCATTGCAGCATTATTTGTAATAGCCAGAACCTGGAAACAACCTAGATGCCCCTCAACTGAAGAATGGATAGAGAAAATGTGGTACATTTATACAATGGGGAAAAAAAACAAACAAACAAAACAACAACAATGGAATCTTGAAATTCGAAGGCAAATGGATGGAAATTGAAGAAACCATTCTGAGTGAGGTAACCCAGTCACAAAAAGACAAACATGGTATGTTCTCACTCATATGTGGATTTTAGACATAGAGTAAAGTATTACCAGCCTACACTGCCAGAGAAGCTAGTAAACAAGGAGGACCCTAAGAGAGACATACATGGTCTCCTGGAGAAGAGGAAAGGGACAAGATCTCCTGAGCAAATTAGGGGCACGGGGTGTGGAGGGAGGGGGATGGAACTAAGAGAATGAGAAGGGGAGAACAGGAGGGGTGAGGAAGACATGATGGGGCTGGGAGGTTGTGTTGAGGGAGGAACAGAAGAGAGCAAAATAGATAATATAATAAAAGGAGGCGTTATAGGTTTAAAGAGAAATCAGGCACTAGTGAAATGTGAGGAGAGCTACAAAGATGATACCAACTAACAATCTAAACAACAGAGGAGAGGCTACCTTAAATGCTCTCTCCTGATAATGAGATTGATGACTAAATCATATGGCATGGTATAGCCTTCATCCAACAGCTGGTGGAAGTAGAAGCAAACACCCACAGCTAAACCTTGAACTGAACTGAAATCCAGTTGCAGAGAAGGAGGATGAGCAAAAGGGTCCACACTAGGCTGCTGAAACTCACAGAAACAGCTGACCTGAACAAGGGAGAGCTCTTGGTCCCCAGACTGATACCTGGGAAACCATCATGGGACTGATCCAAACCCCCTGGGTGTGGGTGTCATTGAGGAGATCTTGGAAATCTATGGGACCTCTTGTAGTGGATCAGTACTTATCCCTAGCATAGGAATGGACTTTGGGAGTCCATTCCACATAGAGGGCTACTCCCTGAGCCTAGAAACAAGGGGGTTGGCCTAGGCCCTATCCCAAAGAATAAGACAGACTTTGAAGACCCTCTATGGAAGGCCTCACCATCCCTTGGGAACAGAAAGGGTATGGAATAGGTAGGTTGTTAGTTGGGGGCACAAGGGAAGAGGGGAGGGAAAGGGACCTGGGATTGACATATAAAATAATTTTCTTTCTAACTAAAATAATAAAACATATAAAAATAAAATATTATTTTAACACATTTGATCAAAATTTGTAACATTTAAAAGCCATGTCATGTTGAATTATTTGAATTTTTAAATTTTTTATTAAAGTATTTAAATTATTTGAAAATTTAAATTTATATATGCTACAGTAATGGTTGGTCCAATAAAATTTACTCATATTTACTTTAATAATATCTAATCTTTTCAAATTCAAAATTTTTGGCATCAAACATTTAAATTGAGGAATAGTTATAATAAAAATAATTTATTATAATTTTGAACTATTATTGAGAAACTGGTAAAGTGGATTGGGGTTAAGATACTTGTATAGTAAGTACCCTGATGTTCTAAGTTTTATCCCCAGGAACTAAGTAGTAGAAGGAAAAGAACCAGCTCCAGCAGGTTGTCTCCTTCCCTCCATAGGCAGCATACACACGAGTGTGCACACACAAAAATAAATATTAGTGAATTTCTATTCCAATTGTTTTTAGAACAATCACAGCTTATTCACTTTTTATTTATTTAATGCTTTCTGAACTTAACAGATGTGTTAATTTGAGTATATTAACAATATTTGATGAATGGGAATGCTAAAATCCCAAGAAGACTAAGTAGTGTTTCAGATTAGATCTTTAACTGGAACTCAAATATAGATGCGATTTAGCTTCTGTCTTGATGCTGTAGTTTCCTGATTCCTAGGTGTGAACAGCAAGAAAGACCTCAAATACCTAATCCACTTTGAAAATCCAATAATTATGTATAATTCCTTAAGTAATAAATTAATACTTTTAGTAAGTTCAAGCAAAGAGGAATTTAGTATTAATAAGATTCAGTTATCTCGTATTCTTGGGCAGATTATCCTCAAATTTTAACCAACTACAATTTATCATGCATTATTTCTTTTGCTGTTCACTTCTGGGTTCCCTTGTATGTTTGCCAGGCTGGAAGATGCAACACAGCCCTCACACCTGAGACTGTCAGGTGCTCATCTTGCTGTCAGCTGCAGCACCTTGGTACCTTCATGTGGCCTTGGAACTGGCTTCCCACAAGGTGACCTCAGGGCAACAATTCAGGGCAAAGGCAGAAGCCCCAGAGTTTTGAGGGTCCAGATTTAAACTTACACAGTGTGGTTTCAGACATGTTCCCTTGGTGAAAGCAAATCACAGGTGAGACCAGATTCAAAGAATTGGCAAACAGCTGTCATACTTTTTAGGGGGAACAGCAAGTTATCTGTGGCCGTATTTAACCTGTTACAGTTTGTGAGTAAATCAACCTTTCATTCATTTTAAGTGATCTTACTGAGCCATTAATACTCTTGATTACATAATTATATTTTACTCTGAAAATTCGTATTTCCCACTAAAATATTTGAGTCCTAGACTATTGGTCATGTTGCTTTATGGTCTGGCATGCCTTTTAATAATTTTACTATAAATATGTTATTGTTACTTTAAAATATAAAAGAATAAAATAAAACATTAAAATTACATTTTAGTCATTATTAGCACAACTAAAATAAATGTGTTACTCTTTCTCAAAGAAATGCCTTTTGTTTTAGATCAAGATGGAAAGATAAATTGAAGTTTATGCTTATTTTAATCCAGAATGCAACTAATGAGCTCACGAAACAGTCATCAAACGTGAAGTCTCTGAAGCTGGAACTCCTAGCAAAAGAGGAACACATAAAGGAGATGCATGAAAAGTAGGATTTCATAGTTCTATCTATTGTATTTGGTGCCACCTAGTGGTGATCATGTCTATTCACCATTACACTACAAAAATCAATACCAGTATTTGTCTTTCACAATAGAATTTTACCTTTTAAGGTCATTAGATTTAAAAAAAAAAAAAAAAAACATTTCCAGTTATTTATTCTTATCTTATGTGTATTGTTGCTTGCATTTTTGTCTATACGAGGGTGTGGGATCCCCTGGAACTGGAGCAACAGACAGGTTTGAACTGCCATGTGCATGCTAGAAATTGAACCCAGGTCCTTCGAAAGAGCAGCCAATGTTAACCACTGAGCCATTTCTCTAGCCCTTAAAATCATGTTTAAGTCTACATAAGGTGGAATTTTAAGGAATACAAGATACAGTATAATTGAAGACAATTGGCTGCTATTTTAATTAGAGTGAAATATTAAAACTAGATTTCCCTTAGCAAAATTTGAATAAATATAAATTAATGAATTTAAGAGTAAACAAAAATCTACAATTATGAATTCTTAGGCTAAGAGAATAAATAGATTGGTACTTGCACAGAGTTAATTCCTGATTTATAAAGCCAAGGTCAAATGTGAAAGTTTTGTTTGCTTATAAAATAGCTAGACATCATTTTGTATATATCATTTTAAAAGGAGTTTAAATACCCTATCATATTGAGCAAAATGGCTTCTTTCTCTGTATTTTATAACTCTAGTAAAGCTATTATGTGATGATGTGTCTGGCTAGAACACGTCATTGATAAATTTCTCATATCCCTACCTGTAGGCAGAATTATGAGTGAAGCTTTATTTAACATGATATTAATAAGTAAAACTTAGAGGATGGCTAGCTGAGTATAGTGGTTTGTACCTATAGTTCCAGTGTTAGGAAGACTGAAGCAAGAAGATTTTCATAAAGTTGAGACCTGCCTGAGCTTCACTGTGAAACCCTCTCTCCCAAAATCCTCCAAATAAAAAAAAAATTCTAATTTTTACCTGAAAATGTCTTGAAGTTTATAGATCAAAGGCCGTGTTGCTTAATGGTTACTATTGAGGGGTCTAGAAAAACAGAGTCCTGGCTCCTGTATCCACTGGCTAATGGTCTTAATTTATGAAGGTCTTCTGAAGAGTGAGTCAGCACATAAAAATTTATAATAGTAGCTATTATAACAAGGGTCTAATCAGTGTTAGCTGCTGTCACTCATCTCATCAACCATAGTACAAGATCAGGAATAGATATCACTGAAGTTGCTATTTTATAATAGTCACCATCTTAAACTAAACTGATAGGTGAATTCAATCTCAACTGATTGAATTAAACAGTATGTCTAATTTTAGTTTCTTTGCATCTTCTTATAAGATTTTTACATTTTTATCCAAATTTAAGTATTGTTTCTTAACATTATTAGAATTTTGATTGTCTCTAAGTATCACATCAATATTTCTAAGCAATACAAAAGTGTAATTTAAATATAATCTAAGTTTTCATAAATTATATAAATTATAATTATCTCAGTTAATCTTTCGTTTGCTATAGTGAAAGTATGTAATAGTAACAAATTCACCAAAATATCCTGGATTTTGATAAAACATATGATGACATATGATACTTAGATACTATTTCAGTGCAATTTTATTTTACTAACATAGTGGCATTAATGTCAGCTTTTCAAAACTAACAGTAGGCATGACCATGAATACAGTATATCAAGATATTTTCTGCCTCTGTTAAAATTCCTCCTTTAGGATATCTCGAATGGAGAGAGATATAACCATGAAGAGACACCTGATTGAGGACTTAAAATTTCGACAGAAAGTAAATTCAGAAAGTAATGAAAGTTTTAATGAAATGTTAGAAAGTCTTGAAAAAAAGGTATTAATTTTTTGTGTTTGATGATAAATTATTTTCTGTTGTATTGATTGTAACAAAATATTCAGTACTAAGCAACTATGTAAAATACTAGCAGAATATATATTAATGGTTATAAAGTCATGCCATTTTTATTTGTTTCAGAATTCAAGACTCCAAAATTCCACACATACCATATCCACAGAGTCTGCCTGTTTGGGTGCTCTCCCGAAGGAAATGTTTAGTTTTTAAAACCTCTAGTACTTCTGCTGTATATAATGATGTCCTATTTATTATTTTATATTATTTAAACCCAAAGCTTATATGGACAGAATCAGGCTAATGTATCAATGTAACTAAGTTATGCTAATAACTATGAAATGCCCTTAAAAACTGTAATTTTTCTTCACAGACTTAATTTAGTGTACATGAGAGAGGAGTATCTTTTTAAGGTAGTTGTATATTATATGACCCCAAACTAAAACAGGTTTGCTTGAAATTCCTTTAAATGTAATTTATGCAACCCACAAAATCTTTACATTTTTTAAAAATTTGTATTGGTGTTTTTCATGTATGTATGTATGTATGTATGTATGTATGTATGTGTACCACATGCATGCCTGGTATCTGTGGAGGTCAAAAGAGGGTTTCTGATCCCTTGGAACTAAAGTTTACAGATGGTTGTGAGCTGTCATGTGGGTCCTGGGAATTGAACCTGTGTCATCTGCAAGAGTTGCACATTCTTTTAGCCAAGCCGTCTCTTCAGCCCCCTTACTTTTCTTTCACTTCAGTCATTTCAGATAAAGTTTTAAAAAGGCTTGTTTAAATAATTGTTTCTTTAATGGTATTAAGCTTAAAATGAAAAACAGTTTCTTCTGCTATTCTTTGTGCTCTGTAAAGAATGTAACTCTTCTATTATAAATATCATATATTTGTGACATTTTAGTTTGGTTATTGGCTTTAGAACTGCTAGTTTATTCATAACATGAATATTACAAGAAGACTACTTGAATATGATAAAACTTATGAGACAGTGAATTCAATTAAACTCCTTCAGTTTCTGGTGAGACAATACAGTATACTGCTATAAGGCATTCACTAACAGCAGTTCCCTTTCAACTTTTATTGCAGGTGAAGACACTAACTGAAGAATGTTCCAACAAGAAGGTATCCGTTGATTCACTAAAGCAAAGACTTAATGTTGCTGTGAAAGAGAAGTCACAATATGAACAGATGTATCATAAAACTAAAGAGGAGCTAGAAAAAAAGGTATGCTCCCAAACATTCAGATGGAGATTCGAATACAGTGACACCGTTCTCATATAATGCTGTCACCTTTTTCTCCCTAAATCAATATGAACTACTTATATAACTGTAAGGAGTGCTGTATCACTACATGAAACACTGAGACTTTGTTTTGCATTAGTGTTCATACTGCATTAGCAAAATAAAGAAAAGCAAGGATTACCTTTATCAAAATAAAAGTAGGTTGCAAGTAAAGAATAATGAAATCTTTTTCATGTCTGATTTGTATAACCCATGTTTCCAAAATGTTTGTGAATATCAATCTGTTGCAGGATCTCAAGCTGAGTCTCCTCACATCAAAAATAAATGAAACAGAAACAGCAATGGCACAGATTGAGACAGCAGCGTCGAAACAGCTCCAAGGCTTAGCACTGCAGAGTGAACAGGTCCTGGAAAGTGCACAGAAGAAACTGCTGGCAGCCAATGAAAAACTAGAAGAGTTTGCCTTCTTTGTGAAGGTGTGAGTCATTGACGGCTTACTCCCTTGCACTTTACTTCAGGCAGAGGCATTGTCCTCCTGGGGATTTGGTGGAAACATCAAGCCCTTGCTTTAGTTGTTGCTGATGTTACTGTTTTGGGATAATCTCACTATATATAGCTCAGTTGGCCCCAGACTGTTGATTCTCCTGCCTCTAATTCTCCTGAGCTTTACAGGTGTGCTCCTGCCTTTCTTCCTGTTTTACTATCCCACAAAACCTTTTCCCCTACCTTGTGAGTCACCATGTTCAATTTTTCTCTGTAACAGAGTTTATGGATTGAGTTTTAAATTATTAACCCTATTATTAATATTTCTTTCTTAACATTAGTTTAATAATGAAATGGTAGTCAAGTAATCAAGGTAGATTTGAAATGAATTAAGTCATTTCTACTGTTTTAAATCACCCAAGCAAGGACAAACATACTCCTGTGCTCAGTTAAGTCAAGAAGTACTTGAATTCAGTATAGCCAGAGAAGTAGCAAATGACTAGAAGAGCATATAGTCAGCTGAAATGTCTGCATATAAGCGATGGCTCAGTTGTATTGTCTAGATGCTACCTAAACTTTGAAAAACCCCAGAAATATTTATGAATTGGCTGCACAAAGAACCTGCTAAGCAGTTATTGCTGAAGGAGGGGAAATACATTCAGTACTCTTCCCCCCTTACCTGAAGCAGCTGAGGAGATGCTCTGGATTCAGAAGCAGCAGTCATTGAGGCCAGAGAGCCTGTGACTTTGCTGCCCTCTTTAATCCCCTATAAAGTGTCCATAACTCCAATCAGCACCTTTTATTCTTAGTCATGTAGTTAGTAAGGATCTGTCACTGCTAACTAAACCATGGTGATTTCCTTAATAGAAGGAACAGTGTTTTATTAATCCTTATCTCCACAGTGTGTGCCATAGTCTCTTGAAAAGAAGAGCATACAATAATGATCAGCAATTAAATTAAATTTGCAGTGGAGACATGAAATCTTAATGGTAGTTCTCTTGATCTTCAGTGTTGACTCTAAAATGGTTTGCAGTGGGAAAGAAAGCCTTTTCTTTTCCTTGCTGCCCCCAACCACATTTCCCTCATCTTTAGTATTCTTTCAGAACTTTACACTTGATTAAAGACATTTATCATTTAGGTTACCAACTTCAGATTCATTTGTTCACTTGTGCTTAAACAAAATATATAACACTGCTCTTGCATGGTCCCAATTGGGTAGGATCCAAAATCTCCATTTGACAAATTAACTAAATGAGTAGAATGAAAGTTTTAGATGGGGCTATAGAAATGGCTCAATGGTTAAGAGCACTAGCCTTTGGCATAGGACCTAAGCTCAGTTCCAGATACCCATTATGAGACTCACAACCATCTGTAAATCCAGTCCCAAGGGATCTGAAACCATCTTCTTGCCTCCAAGGGTACCAGGCGTACCTGTGGTACACAGACATGCAGGAAATTATAGAAACATTACCTTGTGCTTAACAATTGCATCTGTATGACAAAACCATATCTGTTTGGTATTTAAAACTTAAAAACGTCCCAATTTCCTATGGTAATCTGACATTTATTTTGATTGTTTTATGACGATATGTGCTTGATACTAACATCCTGTCTCTTAAGTTTTCTTAATCAAAGGCTACCAGCAGCCAAACACAGAAGTAGCAGTCAAGACTGGGAAGTAGGGGGCTACTAAAGGGGGACCAGCCTCTTGTCTTTACACAGGTAATCTAGGACTGGCCAGAGATTCTCAGGGCTACCAGCTCAGGCAGCAAACCATCTGTGGCTTCCTGCCCTTCTGTGTTAGCTGTATTATATTTAAAATTCTATTTTGCTATCAAATTTAGACCTTTGTAACTGAACATGCCTCCTTTTCACTATTCCCCAACTCCTACCCATATTAGGTTTGTTTCTGCCATTTCTCAAGGTCTACTTCCAACCAGAAGGCCCTCCTATCTTTGTTCCCCCTTTCAGAGTTAGCTTAGGGCCTTCTTCTGTATGTATCTTTCCTATAACCTTGTAGCCAAGAGGACAGAGTTCAACTCTGTACCATACTAGCTGTGTGATCTCAGGCAACTGCATCTCAGTTTTCTTCTCAATAAGATTATAATAGTAAGAGAATAGTTATCTTCTTATCAGTTATGGTGTGTACAATTAAAATATGACTGTAAAGGTTTCTTTTTGTTGTTTCAGGTATATTATATAGACAGACATATAGGGGTAGGAACATTATCAATAATTTCTTTATAGTATGGTCATATATGAGGCTCATTACATTCTTGAGGAATTGATCAGACAGATACACACACACACACACACACACACACACACACACACACAGTACCAGAATTATACATGCTTTTCCAATTAAAGCTATAAAAGGAAGAGCTAGCTATTCATAGCTATATATAGTTCTTACATGGATCATATAATCACAATGCATTCTGCACAAAGCTTGTTGGATATCATGTACACTAAACTACTTAATAAATATTATCAGTAGTTTTTAACAGTACTAATGTTTATTCTGGTACTGTTGTGGAATCTATGTTCCCTTTAGTCTTTTCATTTATTTGTAGGGCACAACCAGATTATGGAAGAGGTGGAGTGGCCATCTGCTCTAGATCTAGTCTTGAATATGGAATTTTGCCCTGGGGTGAAATCAAGTGCTTTGAGCATCTGGGCTGGATATATGTGGCAGAGCTGAGGCTTTGAATTCTCCTAATAACTGGATAAAACACACTAGGGAAATTTCTAGAAGTATTTGCTCAGTTTGAGTCAGCCTTGATATATAGGCTTGTTAATGTACTGTATGTGGGAGTCATATGCCAAGCACCATTTTCTCAATGTTTTTCGTTATTGTTGTTGTTGTTAACTAAAAATATATATACCAGCCAAAGAATAGTATTTAGTTGGAAAGTGTTCATGGTTTCATTATCAATATATATTTTTGTTTGGTAAGATTTAGTTAGATACTCAAGGTATATACATTTCATTCTTTGTCAGTGTAGACATTGGTTGAACCTTCCATTTTTATGTTTATATTTGCAAAGGTTAATACTTAGGCACTGATCTGTTCTCCTAATTATGAGTTTTAGACCCATAATTCTGTAATAAAATCCAACTTGAATTCACACTTTATCTTTTTCTCACTAAAGAAAAATTAGAACTTTTAAAAGGAAGGAAAAGTTCTTACTAAGAATATATTAATTTAATAGGTGAACTTTAAACTACATAAATTATACCTCAGTAAAGCTGTTTAAGTACTGCTGAGACACAGGTACATTTCAGAATTTCTTGTCACCCCAGCAGTGCCTGGGATTCTTCTAGAGAAGAGGGCCAATCGCCTGACACATTGCCACCTTGGACATCCAGAACCTGGATTTCAAGCCTCTTCATAATTTTTCAAAAAGCTGCTTTTAAAAACGTGTTATTTCTGCAGTAAACCATGATAAGGATGGTGACTTTAGAGATTCTACCTACCCCCGCATTTTAATATTACTGAAAAAAAGTGTTGTCAATTCATCATTGTGATGAAACTCAAGATCATGAGTTGTTAGCTAATACACTCAAGATTCATGTAAAGACTAGAAAACATTAAAAAATAAAGCTGGAAAACTAGATATAGTAAGAGTAAAATATAATAGTTTGCTGCTTCCTGAACACAAGTGCTGCTGGTTACAATAAATCATCACAGCTGAAAACAGAGTAGCTGGAAGTGGACATGTCTATCAAGAAACTATTCTCATTTTGAAGATGTCCTCTGATATTGGGACAGTTGGTGATAATTATAAAGGACAGGGTAACTATTCTGTATTGCGAAATATGGGTAATTTGCAAATAAAATAGGACAGTAATCCTTCTTTATGTCCCTTACAACATGTTAAGCAAAACTTGAAGGAAGTGTGGAAATACACAAAGAAATTAATGAGATCACTGTAAACTTACTTTCCCAGAGTATGTTTAATCTGTAATATACTCAAAGTCAGTAATTCAAAATAGGCAAAATATAAGGATGTTTTCTTTTCAAACCCATCTACAGGATACACAAAGACTATTTTACATCTTTTCTCAACAAATTTATGAGGGCAAAAATTAGTTTCACTGTCTACCATGAATTAGTATAATTCATGGTATATATAATTATATTTATATAATTATGATTTGACAAAATAGTGGTCAAATTCTATCTACTTAAAATTTTCAAACTCTGTGATTTTGGACAAAGTGAACCTAAAACTTGATTTTCCAAGGAAGACAAAGGAAATGGAATTAGGGAGTTACATTACTTTTCTTGTTGCTTCAACAAAATACCTGACAGAAGCAGCTTAGGGGGAGGAAGGAAGGATTTACTTTGCCTTACAGGCTATAAATAGTTGCATTTTTGAGTGTTTGGAGGTACTGCCATACAAGTTTCCATAGTAGCTGTATGAGTTTATATTCCTACATTTCCCCATATCATACTAATATTTTATGGCATCCCTTTTGACTGGAAACTTAAAGTTTTAATTTGCATTTCCCTGATAGTTAAGGATGTTGTATATTTTTTAACTATTTATCTTGGTAATTTGTATCTCTTCTTTTGAGAGCTGTCTATTCAGTTCTCTGTTATTGGTTGGATGATCAGATGGGTTTTTGTGTGTATTTTGTTTGCTTATCTGTGAGTATAAGGACGCATGTTATTAGATTTTTATTAGGGAATATACTAGTTTGGCAAATAAGTGATTGTAGATTCCCATCCATTAGCCATAATTTCACCAGCACTGAGTATTAATCCAGGTTTCCAGTACCAGGCACAGTTTATCTCTTGTTGAGTGGTTTAAGTTCAATTAGAGAGCAATTGGTTACCACCAAAGTATATGTGCCTATAGGGTTATGTTATGCTAGTTGTTGAAGTGGTTCACAGGCATTATAGCTGGGCAGGTCTATTATTATTTGTCTCATTCAATTGGAAGCTTGCATGGCCCCTTCTGGTACCATGCAAGCTTGTCCCTAG